GATATATATATATATATATATATATATATATATATATATATATATATATATATATATATAATTACTCAAATCGTAATAATTTCAATAATACATACTAAAATGAAAACATCACTAAATTTGATATATTTTCTAATTAAATAATATTGGAACAGTGCTTGCCTTTGCAAAAGTTATCACCACAAGAAAAAAAGGTAAAAGGTGAGAAAAATAAACAACATTCATAACAATGTGTGCACATTTATGCCCCAGCAAGCCTCTCTTTAAGTTCAGTACAAATTCGAGCCACTCTTTCAAAATGAGATTATTTACAGCGGCATGGTGTTCATTTATTTTTTAATTACGAACTGGATGCATGGTTAAAATAGAAGTGACCTTGAGCTAGAGGTTGTAGTGGTAGGTTTGTAATTGGCTGTAGAGACTCACCCTGTCTGAGAGCCAGGGAGCTGCAGATTCCACGAGCAGATCACCAGTCTAAAAAAAAAAAAGGTCTACACACAATATCCCAAGTGTTTTGAGCCTTTATTCAGGGTTTCTGCAGGCTTTATGAAGTTAAATTAAGACTTTTAAGACCTTTTTAATACCAAGTAAAAAACTCTACACAAATTTACATATTAAGTAAATGCATTTTGATTTAAGGATGTTTAGATATTTTTGATAATGAGATAAAAAATACTGAGGAAGATATTAATTTTTTTAATAGTACATTCAACATTTAATACTAAAATCTTTAATTTAAAACCTTTACAGGGCTTAATTTGGTGAAGAGTGAATTAAGAAATCCTGTTTAATTTAGGAATTGTTCTGTTTATTTATGTATTTATTATTAATACAATTTATTTATTTATTAATACAATTTTATTTATACAAAAAGCTATACGAAGCAAGATGAGACAAGACTAGTGGAGAAAACATGAGATGAGACAAGAACAGAAAAGAAGAGGGAAGAAGAGAAGAGACAAAATCAAACAAAATGAGAAGCAAAGAGAAGATTCAAAACAAGTTGAAAAATGGAGAAGACAGAAGAAGAATGGAGAAGTTAAAGAGGATAAGAAATAAATGAGTAGCAGAGAGTCAAGATGAGACCATATAAGAAAAGTGGAGAAGAGACAAGGTGAGACAAGGCTAGATGAGAAGAAATGAGAAAAGCAGCAAAGAAAAGGGTCAAGACGTGATGAAACAAGACAAGAGGAGAAAAGACGAGGTCAGACAAGAAGAGCAGAGTAGAAACAAGAAGAGAAGACACAAGGAAAGGAAAGACAAAGAGAGGAGAGTCAAGATAAAACAAGACAGTTAAAGTGTACATATAAACCAAAGAAGAAAACACAAGAGACAATGTGAGACAGGATAGAAAAGAAGTGCAGAGTCAAGATGATCCAAGAAGAGAGGCACAGAGAAGAAACAAGGAGATTTGAAGCAAGCAAAGATGTAGAGACAAGGTGAGACAAAGAGAGAAGAGACAAGATAGAGACGCAAAGCAAATAGATAAGACAAATGATGAGGAGAGGATGAGAAAAGAGCAGAAAAGACAAGCTTAAATGAAACTAGAAGCGAAGACAATTCAGAGAACAATTTAAAGTGAAAGTGGCTGAACAGTTTTGAATCAGACCCATTTTTCTTGTCCTTATACCTTTCTCTGTCTTTAAAAAAGATTTTTGTTCCTCAAGTCATGGAACTAAACATTCATAAATGCGGTGGTAAGAGCCAGCGGAAAGAGGAAAAAAACTAAATTAAGAAACAGAAAATCATTCAGGAGACAAAGAGAGACTGCATGAGCTCAGATACTCACATGCAATAACAGTGAATGATGACTGAAGCTGTTAGTTCTCACATTCTACCTAACATTTCCTTTTGCATTACGCAAAGAAGAAAAAAGTCATACAGATTTGGAACAACATGAGGGTGAGAATGGTAATCGAATTTGTATTTATGTAGCTATAGAACTTTCTTTTATACTTAAAACATTCATTATGCACCATAGGAGCTTATGTAAATATCTAGAGATGATCGTCTACATCAGGGGTGTCAAACTCAGTTCCTGGAGCACCACAGCCCTGCTGGAGTCCAACACACATACCATGTAGTTTTCAAATAAGCCTGAAGGACCTGATTAGCTGTATCAGGTGCGCTTAATTATGGTTGAAGCTAAACTCTGCAGGGCTCCGGCCCTCCAGAAACTGAGCTGAAACCCCTGTTCTACATAATTCATCAGATAAAACTGCCATCTAATCATATAACTGACCTGTGACACTGAGGAGGGAGGAGGAAATTCATCCTGATATCAACCCAGGACGGAGTTCAGACGATTCACTGATAAGACACAAAACAAAGTTCAAGTGCTGATGAATATGCGTGATTGTAAAACCGCACATGTATCTGCACACCATTATTTCTGTGATCTACACTCTTAAAAATAAAGGTGCTTCAAAAGGTTCTTCAAGCGATGCCATAGAAGAACCATTTTTGGTTCCACAAAGAACCATTCATTCAAAGGTTCTTTAAAGAACCATCTCTTTCTTACCTTTTTGTAATCTGAAGAACCTTCTTTCGCCACAAAGAACCTTTTGTGAAACAGAAAGGTTCTTCAGGTGTTAAAGGTTCTTTATGGAACCTTTTAGACAAAAACGTTCTTCTATGGCATCATGAAGCACCTTTATTTTTAAGAGTGTAGCATGTTTCACCTTGATCTCAAAGAAAGTCGACTTCTGTTGTCATTTTTGCATCTGCAACAGCAATAAACTTTGTTAGGTCAAACGTAACTGCAAACCATATGCTTTGCAAAACTGTATCATCAACATAACTATAATAACATTTAGTATGTGGGTCGGCAGGTAGGTTGTACGCAATGGGGAACAATTTGCCTTCTGAAGCAGTCAGTTTAGACAGAGCCAGCACAAATGATCCCTGGAGACTGTCTTTGTGTAGGAATATTGGTTTACCATTGAATTAACTGACTCTGTAGAACCATCTATCATGTTGGTCTAATCGAGTAAACGTACATTTAATAAACTAGATTACGAAATAATATATATTTTACAAAGAGATTAAATGAAAAAGAAGCGAATTTAGTCTGTAATCTCAGCAGCAGCAGCATTAAGCGTCTTTGGTATCCAGGTGGAGATTTGGCTAACGGCTCCACACCCTGTTGAAAAAAACAGCATATGCTGGTTAGATATGTTTTGTCGCTGGGATGCTGGTTTAAGCTGGTCCTTTGCTGGCAAATGACCAGCATAAACCAGCAAAAGGACTAGCATAAACCAGCAAAGGACCAGTTTAAACCAGCAAAGGACCAGCTTAAACCAGCAAAGGACCAGCTTAAACCAGCAAAGGACCAGCTTAAACCAGCAAAGGACCAGCTTAAACCAGCAAAGGACCAGCTTAAACCAGCAAAGGACCAGCTTAAACCAGCAAAGGACCAGCTTAAACCAGCAAAGGACCAGCTTAAACCAGCAAAGGACCAGCTTAAACCAGCAAAGGACCAGCTTAAACCAGCAAAGGACCAGCTTAAACCAGCAAAGGACCAGCTTAAACCAGCAAAGGACCAGCTTAAACCAGCAAAGGACCAGCTTAAACCAGCAAAGGACCAGCTTAAACCAGCAAAGGACCAGCATAAACCAGCAAAGGACCAGCTTAAACCAGCATCCCAGTGTCAAAACATACCTAACCAGCATATGCTGGTTTTCTCAACAGGGCATATTTCAACATTCATTATAAATGTGCTGAACACTCTGTCATATCAACTTAAAAACTACAAATGCTTATTTTAGCCATCGCGTAATATCACAAAGTAGCAGAAACATGTAAATAAATGTAAAATTCAAAGGATAGGTATTAGGTACCTCCAAATCCTTCCGCCTTCCCAACCAATCAGATTCATCTTCACGGAGTGCAGTTTATTGTAGTTTTTTTTAATTAGCTCTAAAAAGGGAAATATTTATGACTATCTATAACTGGTTATGATCAATAATAAATATTTAGATTATATCTTCGAATTAACTGTAGCAGAATCAATATTACAATTATTTGATCTGTCCGTCCACCGAGCAGACAATATAATAATTTATCGATTCAAGGAACTATTATTTTCCTGGCCGAGGAAGAATAAACTGTCCTTCTTTGTGCAGTGCTAGCAGTAATTTAGCAAAATGTAGCATGGGTTCAAACATTCATTGACTTCGAATTGTGAGCAGCAAACAGAGACAATCCGTTGTCGGGGACTGGTTAGAATCTCCTTGATGGCGAGGAAACATTTGGCAATTTAAACCCCCATACAACGTAAAGTCTCTGACAAGAACTGTAATTTATATGCAAATGTCAAAAGGCTAAAAGGGTCTCTTAAGCCATAAAAACCCAAAGATCATGCATGATTCTACGCAGACGCTACATTATGGAGTTCCTGTTTTTCATGGTTCTTGAATTGAGGAACTATTAAAATGAGGGCCCTCGATGTGATCGAATAAGGTAAGACATTACTTCAATAATTTGTTTTAATTTTTTTTTAATACCGACTATGTGCCTGACTGCTGAAACTTTTGTTGGACGCTTAGTGATATATGCCACTAATCAGGAAGTGTTCTTCCCACGACATCAGGTGTTATGTTTATGATATCAGATGTATTGCTTATCAATGACTGTTGAACTTTATTTCATATCAGACAGTCCTGTGTCCTGAGCTGCTTAAGATGTATTAGAGCACAGAACTGTGGATATATATTGATACTTTAAAGTTTATATATAAACAGACAAATAAGTATATAATTGTTGATAACTTTTTTTAAACTCAGCTAGATAGTCATTTATTATTATTTCAGGTCTTGATAGAAGAAAACAAGATTTTACCATGCTTAACAGTGTCTGCGTCGGTTGTATCCTCCTGACTGCCATGGAGTTCCATATCAAACATACCTGGGACAGCTTACCTGTGGATCATGAGCCGGTAAAGATTCGCTTCTCACCTGGCGAGGATGGTTTGTTAATGCAAGTGACTGCTCCTTTCTTTAATGACCCCCCTGCACCAGCCGGATCACCTGGAGAGCCATTCCCTGGTCTCTGGGACTATGAGGGTATGTTCATCTATACTCTAATTGTGGTCAAATTTGTCAATTTTAGTTTATAGATTTAGTTTCTTACTTTCATGTGATTATATAACAAATTAGTGCAATCAACTTATCTTGTTGCATATGCACATGCAGCCTTGATTCTTGGGCTATCCATATAATTATCAGATAAGTAAAAGTGATTTAACTTTGATGGAAACTTGAATTCGAATTAGAGGAAAAAGTTTATGAAACAGTTGACAGTTTTTACAGTTTTTTTCTCTTTGACTAATTTTTCAGTGGTAGAGTCATTTTTCCTGAACAACAACACTGAGCAATATCTGGAGGTGGAAGTCTGCCCGTAAGTTAAGCTTACAGTGTTTTTCAGACAGCAGAAAGATTTGTCATTGCTTATGAGTAATTGAAATAATATTTTGAAATTACAGACATGGACAACACCTGATTCTGCTATTGAATGGAAAACATAATGCATTTATGGTAATAAAATACACATTGTACATCAGTTTATTATTGTTTTCAGCTTTTAAAACATATTTACACTAATGTTCATAAGTTTGGGGTCTTTTTGTGTTTTTGTACAAAGTCTCTTATTCTCTTATTCCAATGCTACATTTATTTGATTAAAAATACAGTAATAGTGTGAAATATTATTATTACTATTATTTAAAAATTACTTTTGATATTTGACTATTACTCCAGTCTTCGATTGTCACATGATCCTTCAGAAATCATTCTAATATGTTGATTTGGTTCTCAAGAAACATTTCTTATTATTATCAGTGTGGAAAACAGCTGTGCTTTAATATTTTTGTGAAAACCGTGATACATTTATAAATGCCTTTACTGTCGACACCTTTGATCAGTTTAAGATGTTCTTGCTGATTAAAAGTCTATAAACATTAAAACATTAAGGAATGCTTAATGCAATGAAATAGTACAGGAGGTAGAAAACGTAGAGTGATGTGAAATGTTCTTATGACATTCTTTACCATTAGCTTGTTATTTTGTAATAATTTTTATGCTATAACCTGTTACAGCAACAACTCCCTCTATCATTCAAAGCCAATATAGAGGACAACAACTGGAAGGGAGAAGCACTTCTACCTTGGAGGTATTTCCCTCAGGGCATTAATAAGATGAATTCCTATGCCATCCATGGCTCTGGAGCAGGAAGGACCTATGAGGCTCTGTATCCTGTTCCTAGAGAAGACCTACAAGAAGGACAGGGACCAGACTTGTAAGTTTAGATATCTTAATATGATTTTATTAGATCTTAACACATACCTGTCAACCCTGCCGTTTTCCCCGGGATTCTCCCGTACTTTACCATTCTATCCTGCTATCATCCTGTTTAAATATTCTGCGTATTTGATATATTTGCTACATTCGCCTCTGGTAAAACTCCTATAATCTGTATGGCCCAAACCTCATTCACATCAAGCTGCTTTGTTACTGGGGAAACCGCAATATTTCTGCCATTCCGAAAGCGCCACCTGCTGGCAGAGAATGAATTTGCATTTTTCAATAAGTCTTTTTTTTTTTTTTTTTGAGACCAAAGCCAAAATCGACCCTTATTTTTACGCAGAAAACATACAGCTGAAAATGTGAATCGGTGGATTGACAAAAAAATTATGAATTATAACAAATCTAAAGATATAGCCTATACTTAGATATATTTATATGTTGCCCCACCACCCACCAGGATATTAACATTTTCTTCTCTCATCTGAACAGCCATCGACTTGAGTATTTTCAAGACTTCACTCTGCAAAGCATCATGGGAGAAGACTGGGTTCAGCCAGAATCTGACCTGTGGGATTTGGCAGGCAAATGTTCAACTGAAAATCACAAATGAAGACAAAACTGGCTAATAACCAGCCTTTTTTATGCAGTAATTACTTGCAATTTGCTTTCATGGCTATGTTAGAGCACAAACTCCACTGCAGTCTAATCAAAGTTAATGATGTGGCTTGTTTTAATGTGGGTGTAATATAATGTGCAATATAATGGCTTTTATTATCACAATTTAATAAATCTTTTATCAGAAATGCGGCACTAATCTCAGCAGTAAGTATATTCCATCCAGCACCAAATATCTATGCAATATGTAGTAAATGGGAATTTTCAATTTTAGACTGAAATTAAAATAACCATTTAATAATGGAGATGGTAAATGTGGAAATTAAACAAATTATAACATTGTTTTTGTTTTTTTTTGTCCTGTTTTGGAGCTTGGTAACAGATGTGCCAGCACTGTGAAATTAGTTGCATGAAGATTCTTCAGAAATTCTCCTTAGGTTTTCAATAGAAAATGTAGTAAATATAATTATCCAATAACATATGCCTAAACAGGGGCAGATCTAGAAAATACTTTTTAGGGTGGCAAAGGGGTGGCATGGGGTCTATGAGGGGTGACAACACCAAAGCAAGCCCCCATGCATAGTTTTTGGGGAGTTTTGGTCGGTAATACAATATTTGTGAACACAACTGTGTATGTCAATTAAGTAATCATCTATACTGTTTAAAATAAATAACGTTTTAATATCTATCATTGCACCAAGTCAATACACAACGTAAAAACTTCAACAGGTTATAAATGTTTCTGAGCTTGTATCACTAAAGAAGACATGCGGTTCTGTTAAAATTACATAGGCTACTTAGATGGTATAAATCACGTTTTAGTGCAAGTTTAAGAGCAACAAACACTTTTGAATTTCCTGACATTAGAAAGAAATACAATAATATCAAAGCACTGGAACTGGATCAGTTTTGAAAACAATGTTTGATTTTCTGTTCTTAACACAGGTGGGAATATCTGTAATCACCCAGAACAAACTCTATCAACCATATACTCTAACAACACCCCAGCAACTGCATAGCAAGAGCCTAGCAACCACCCAGAATATCCTAGCAACCAACTAGCAACACTTTAGCAAACATCTAGAACATCTAACTGACCAAACCTTTTACGTTTTTAAACAAGACTTTAAGACAAGCCAGCATAAATGTGTTTTTCAAACTTTTCAATCTAGTTATTACAGTTTTTCTTACAGGTTTTTGCAACTGCTTACACACATTTTCAAAACTTTGCCTCATTTTTTCAAAACTTTACACACAAATCCAAGAACACACACAAAATGCAAAATGCCACACATCTCTTGCAAAATGAAGCACTGCATTCAAAATATCACAAACACATCTCAAAAGCAAACATTTGCAAACACCTTTGCCATAATATTAATTCCTGATAGATTTGTGTGTGCTACATAAAGATTTGTGTGTTGTGTTTTGCAAAAAGTGTTTTATGAAATTGAAAAAGTTAAAGGCAGAGAATTAGTGTATGGTTTTGGAGATTTGGTGTGTGCTTCTTGTGTTTGAGTGTCAGCTTTCAGAAATTGTGTGACAAGTATAGAGTTTGTGTGTAAGCAGTTGAAAAAACTGTAAAAGCTTACACAGATGACTTTCCTGCCCAGTGAACACTGAGATCAATAACACTGTAACAAAAAACTCTTACTAGGATTCAGGAATTATTTTTGCAGCTCAATGTCTATTACAGTATACATAAATTAAATTACAGATACAGATGTATAATTCTGCAATGAACTTTTGGGGAAAGAAAATCAATATTTTCATTTTACTACTGTAAAGTAATCTTGCTGTAGATGAAAAGCACTAGAAAAGTTCAAACACCAAAGAATTGTATGAACTTGGCTTGCACCACAATACAGTACAGTAAAAAATAAAATAAAAAAAGCATCCTCAAAACATTTAGCATCCTCTGCACATTTGGCCAAATTGCATTACAGTATACAGTACTATAGCAGTTTCTTGGTCGCCTGACACAAGACTAGCTATATTTCTAGGCAGTCATTTCTCAGTCCTGCAAAAATGCAGTACACATAAAAAATGGTAACAAATAAAATTTGACAGTCACACGCTTGAAGGTGTACAACATGTGCTACAGTTTACTGTACATATAGAATAGTTAAATTTCCATTATCTAATGTACTGGTACTGCACTGTAATTATAATCAAGCGTAGCGTTAGTTCTGGCAGGTCACGTTAGTCAAGCTCGCATCAGCTGACTCTCAGCTGATCCCCATCAACCTATGGGAATTTGACACCTATCTAAGCATTCATATATAAGGTCCCGCAGTAGTAGCAGCAGTTTTCGCATTGCTCAATAGCTAATTACCCTTCTCCATCCCCAGCTCCTCCTCTGTCAGTCAGGATTCAGCCTTCTGATTCTCCTTTGAATCAGACTAATTCAAAAATGTGTACATAACATTACTGAACTTTAACGATATCTGCAATGCATTTATGTTGGTTATTTTCTGTTTACCCTGGGGGGGTTATCGCTGCTCTCCCTGCTCTCATCCATGCTAGGCTGCATGGATGCGCAGGGAGTTCTTGCCCAGAACAGAACCATACCGCCAATCCAAACTGTATGCTAATTGTCAATCATCTTTGACGATAGTGGTCCTGACAGAACTGTATGTGTAAGTATAAAACTCCTGTAGATGATTGGCTCAGCTCTCTCCTCTCTCCGTTGTTAGGAGGATGCAGAGATTCTGATTGGTCGGTGTGTCATCAGTTTTGCTACCTAATGTTTAACTTACTCATTGTTAAACTTTTTGAGAAATGTGTCTTTTTTTTGAAAACTGAATTAATTGTTTGGGGGGGGGGGAAGTGCCAACTAAAATCAGTTATATTAACAATCGAGAAAACTGCAATACGAGGAATCCTTAAATCCTTATTTTTGTTTTATTAGGTCTGCCGCAATATTAAAATAGGTCTGTGCCAACCTTGAGTATCTGACAGTAGCTGAAGTAAAACGTATTTCTGTGATATAAAACCTCTTCTATAAACAGCCGAGCTTTAACTCTCTCAACAAACCCATGCGTATAATCAATAGGCGCTCGCGTAAACTACAAATTAGCTGCTAATAAGACGGAACACGGCTTTATAATTACAGCCGCTGTCCGTTAAATGAATATTAACAGTGACTAATTACCGAGCCGCTGCTCTCGCGCTGCCGAACTCCTGACACGAGCGCTGACTGGAGCGCGAGCTGAATGCGAGCTCGGTAGCTGAGAGCGAAGGTCACGGTTAACGAAAGAAGGGCTTTATTAAAAAGATTTTGAATTAAACATTTCTGATATCATAACTTGTTGAAAAGGGCACACTTTAAAGGGTTCGTGTCACAGTGTTATTAGCTAGCCTACTCAATCTCAGAGTTTATAGAAACAAACATCATGCAATCTGTTAATATGTAATTCATTTGCTGGTAAATGTACGTTTTGTTAGTTTATTTATTAATTATGTTAATAATTATGGCATGGATTAAATATATACACTTACATATATAGGCTATATTAATTATCCTACATTATATTAATGTGTGTATTCATAAATGTATGAATTATATGTATTAGCCTATGTATAACATGGAAAAAGATGTTACTCAAGTCCATCTGTGGGGAATGCAGGGAGGCAGGACACATCACTAATATATTTAACATAAATAAATAAACAAAAACAGAACCCAATAGAAAGAATCACATCCAGGCCCGTACTCAAATTACACACAGAGACTCTAATCATATTTGTTCTCTCCACATGTAATCTATTCACTGGGGGAAATAGCAGAGTACAAATTGCTTCTTGTTAGGAGCGGAGCGAAGTCAATCAGATGGCCTTCCACTCATGCTTTTTAAATCGGGGAGAATTTATGCGCTGACATTTTATAATTGATAGGAGGCCTGTTCAAAACTGAATGGGTAGATGGGCACTGGCATGTTTTCAGAGGTATTTCTGCTAGTTGAACAGCGTTAGCCGCAATGGAAATGATTTCATCGAATACATACAACCCTGAACTCCGAAGGGAGGGATGAATATTGTCACTCCCTTTTTTAAATCATGTTTGTTATTTTAATTCCATTATATCCATAATGGACCTGTTTACCTGTTGCTTTTGCCCCTTCCATCCATTTGTCACAGGCAGGTAATATCTGCACTAAAATATTGATTCCCATCTATTGGAAAACACATTAACAAACAAATACTTTGAGCCTGCAATAGTGTCTAGTGGCAGTTAACAAAGTATTTTTTTTCTATCAGAGATAATGTTGATATATTTTATCTTTATTTTTTTCATCACTAAAAAATATTAATCATTGCGCTCTGAGCTCCAAAAACGTGTTTCCATGGCAACAAAAGATTTTCTGGATAAAAGGGGCTGTCAGGGAGAATATTTTCCTTTATATAACTGTCATAATCATAAACATTAGTACAATACACTCTCTCACACGCACGCACATCAGTGAAGCCCATTAAAGGCCACTATAAAAGAAGGAGGCCTAAAAGTAAAGGATGATGAAGAACCACACTCGCAAAGCGGAGGTTATTTTTACAGATTTTAAGGAGAGGGGAAGATGATAAATCTGAGTTGGGAGGCAGTAATAAGAGAGGATGGCAGGCAACACAACATTATCAGGCTGTTTGTGCTGTGTGGAAGTGCTGGAGGGGGAGGGCTGCCGAGGAGAGCCTTTACCCGCGCGACACCCTCTGATTGATAGTGGAATAAAGGTCGTTCCGTGTGATGAATGAATATTTCGATATAACCCAATCACGGTGCACAGGAAAACGAATGACTGGATGAGAACAAGATGAGCGGGTCCACTGAGGGCACGGAACGCAGGGCCAGCAGAGACACTAAATCACAAAATAACAGAATTGAACTTTATATGGCCATAAATGGGAGAGTATGTGGAGAGACGGGGTTGAAAACGTTACCTGGATACTCTCAGCTTTTCTGTCAATACTAAACCCATGAAGAAAGAGAACGAGGCGGGGGGAGACACAAGAGACGGAGCCGAGAGTCTTTCCACGAGACATTTAGAGGTCATGCTCTAAAGCGAACGTGGTAACTGTGGAGTTGTTCATAAAGTGGTTAACTCACAGCGAGATGTTCTGTTTGTGCACGAGGGTCAGTTTGATGGAATATCAGCTCCCATTTGTCTGAGAGCCACAGATGGGTGAGCTGAAGACAAATGCTGCAGTCAGACGGCCAAAACAACATTTCCATCCTGATGTGCACAGAATTGTATTGATTAATATCACTGACAAAACAAACTAGCTAAACAAGTTACACTCTTA